TATATTCATTCCTAATCATGGTAATGCATCCAAAATGATATATTTTAAAAAACTTACTACTGATTTTTGGATAAGTTGCTAATGTGATAGTTTTATCTTTTATGAGATAATTTTCAAATTTTCAAGTTTGTTCTTAAGTTTATTATTAAACTTAATTCAAACCCTCTGTTTAAAACAACATTTTTTAAATAATTAATTTTTTTATCTATTCCTTCTTGGTCATAAAAAATGTTTACATGTCTCTATATCAACGTTTTAAAAACGTGTTTTTTCATGAGTAATAATGGCTTGAATAAAAATGAGGGAAAAAGTTTAACATTATAATTTTCTATATACCTCAAATTTTAGTTTACATGCAACCTAAGACGTTTTATATGAATTAGTTTAAGCCAAAACTAGATACTATTTAGTGAGTTTATAGTAAGTTTTTGCAATTTTGTTAAGTATTTCCATTGTTAGAAAGAAAAGAAGTCAAGAATACGACAAAGCTCAGAAAGGTTTAACATTGTTTGACTGTAGTATATAGAACTGTACATTCTTACAGTTTCGGTTTATAACACCATGCTTGAGAATATATATATATATATATGTGATGTACAGTGTTCTCTCATGATGCAGTAGTTATACATTTTTCCTTCCAAATTGTTAGGTTTAGTGAATTCTTGGATTCCAAAATCTAAACTTGACTTTTGATATAAATGTTCTAAATGTAAAATATTTTTTCTTTGTACACTTACTAATACAAAGTAATGATCAAGATCATAGTCTTTAATGTAGTAGCAAGGCCAATGGTTGAAATGATATTCAAAACCTGCTCCTCATTTTTACAGCACTGTACAACAGTATAATTAAAGTAAGAACAAGTTATCATGTTGTGATATGAAGAAGGTCAGGTTCACATGCACGGTTTCTATATGGTGACAGAAAATGCTTGTTTTACTTCAGGGTAAGAATGCTCAGTGCCATGTCAAATTGTACAATGCATATCTTGTTGTTGCTGTAAGTTACATAAACAAGTATGTTTTGGTACTCTATAACAAAGAGTCAGGACCCATTCACTCTTAGAGATATTAACTAAACAAGTATGTTTTGGTACTCTGTAACAAAGAATCGGGACCCATTCACACTTAGAGATATTAACTAAACAGGTATGTTTTGGTACTCTATAACAAAGAGTCGGGACCCATTCACACTTAGAGATATTAACTAAACAGGTATGTTTTGGTACTCTATAACAAAGAGTCGGGACCCATTCACACTTAGAGATATTAACTAAACAGGTATGTTTTGGTACTCTATAACAAAGAGTCAGGACCCATTCACTCTTAGAGATATTAACTAAACAAGTATATGGCATATTCAGATGATCATGTATAATAAATATTTCTACTTAAGTCAAAGCAGATTGAGTTGTTATTCCTTATATTGTTAGTGATACATTATATTTTTTTTTGAAAAAGTGTATTAAAAATACTAATTAATCACTTGTCAGATAAAGTTGGTGGAGAAAGAACTAACTAAGCTTACTGGAGTAGAGTTGAAGAAAAAAGATCTTAAAGTTAATTTTGAAATGGTAAGGTTACTCTTTATTTCTGTCTGTGTTTCAGTCTTTAAATTAAGATGTTCCACAAGAGAAACTGCATGTTTTGCAGGTTTTCGAGTCTTACTTGATTATGTGATGGCTTTAATCAAATTAAACTTACTTTTGTTTGTTGTGTCAATAAAGCAGTGTTAATGTTCAGATTTTTAGAATTTTTGTGGTTCATTTTCTTAGAATATATATATATATATATATCATGTTTATTTTTAACAATACAAAGTCTTGTTACATTGTACTGTAACATAATTCCCTTTCAAATTTTACTAATATTCAAAATGAAACCAATCATTTGTTAGTTTGTAGTTAGATCGTCCACTCCTTGTTTAAGATGAAAACCTTTAGTGTATATGAACCTCTTCTTGGTGTTATAATTTTAAGTAATGCAACATTTTAACGTTTAACATATGTTGATCTTTTTCTGTTCATGAGGGACTACATGATTTCAAGAAGTTCCTTGCCATCAGTTAGCAATATTCAAGTATTAACATGTACAATAGTCCTCTTTTGGACTTCTGAATCCCTTCTGATTTGTTTTATATGTGGCCAGTAAATATACTCTCATTACAATTTGAGAAGGTTTTGAGCATTTATGTCATTATATCTCAAAGTATGTTTACCTAACTCTACACTCATGGAGATTGGCTTCTTTTGCTGTTATCTTTGCATTGACTTATTTCTCAGTTCCTAGTTGTGTTGTGTTTCTGATCATTCATCCCCCCCGGTGGCACAGCGGTATGTCTGCGGACTTACAATGCTAGAAACTAGGTTTTGATACCCGTGGTGGGCAGAGCACAGATAGCCCATTATGTAGCTTTGTGCTCAACTTCAAACAAATAAACAAACTGATCATCCATATTTATTTCTTCACAATTTTTTTAACTTTTTTTGTTTTGGGTAATCATTAATTTGTTTTAATAACACGAAGAGAAGCCACAGCTCAGTTTTTAGCATAATTAGTGGAACAGTATGCATACAAACAAATCAACCCTAATTCAGTTATATTGCTGTTAATAGATCTAATATGTCCTTTCTACTTCCTTATATGGGCAGTTATTCTTTCCAAATACACCTCAGTATTTCTAGACCTATTTCTAAATTACATCTACAAATACAAGTCATGTTTACTTTCCTGTATATATCTCTAACACAAAGACAATATTCAATCAGTAACTGTTTCAACAGCTCAGTCTCACACAAATTAGTAGGCACTGCATCCAACAACTTTTTAGTATGGAATAGCATCAATACTCATTTAATCTTCCAGCTGCTTGAACTATGTGATGTTTGAAAAGATATGTTGTGGAAGCAACTGGTTTACATGTGGCTTGTGTTACATTACCAGTCAGAAATCTTTTGTGATTATGTTAACTACTATTACCTTGGGCATTTGGACAGTGTTTGTCACTGACTTTGTGTTTATTGGTCTTTTTACAGATGGTCCTGCTTTTCCTTGATCCATTTCCTCTGTTTTTCAATGCCATTAATTATAAAGGATATCCAAGCCGTGATTATTCTTTTTCCCAAGAGCAACATGCCTATATGATATGAATATATCAATATTTTCCTTCATCAGAAAGAACTCTTGCATACCCTTCCCCAAAATGATCTGTATCTTGTGGCATCACACTAACTACAAAATGCCAAATGTCGATATATCCTGTTCCACTACAACTTTATTTCAGCTATTGTTGTTACTTGACAACTAGCTGACGTATTCAAAATTATTTTGTTATAAAGTACTCAACTTTCTGTATACACCAATAGTACTTTAATAATAATGTAATCCAAATTTTTAACATGTACTCAAGGGTCTTATAAAACCAAGGTAGCTACAAGAAACTTTATCATAAATTGTATAATACACCATTGACAATGAAGCAGCAAAATGATGAAAATCTTCAACAGGAATGTTAGACCATTCTTTAAAAAGAGTTGCCTCCAATTTTTTCTGTAATTTGAAATCTAGCTTCAAGAATACTCCATAATCATTTGAAGGAAAAATAATCTGATTTTGTGGTCTTAGTTACAGATGCACCTGTCAGGTATACATACCAAAATTTTCTTAACATACCTGTCTGAAATAACTGTTACATTGTGGTTAGATGAATTGTCTTTTCAATACACATTATAAGATCAACAATGTGCTGTGTCACAAGATGAACCTTCATCTTCTAGGATGTTTTTTAACCAATAACTGTTATCCTTCCTTTCAGAATGAGAATCTAACTAATGTCATACCAATAAATGTTGCCCACCCTATAATGAGACCTTTTCTCTGACCTATACTAAGAACTAAATATTTGGCTCATATACCTATTTTGGGTAGCCTAGTGGTTAGCAGGCTGGACTGTGGATCTGAGGGTCAATCACTTACATTCCATTACCACAAAATTGCACTTTCCACTTTGAAGCTATATGTGTGTGTGTGTGATAAGAGTGATGTCCAAATCCCACTATTCAAGAGTTAATGGTAGGCACTATTAACCAGCTTCTTTCCCTTTAGTTTCTTAGTTCAGCTCTGGGATAGCTAGCACAGATAGCCCAAATATACTTTCGTGTGAATATCTGAATCAAACAAATAAACAAGCTTCTTTTGGCTTTCTCCACACATACATGTCCTTTTTGTGAGTAAAGTTTGAATGTTGACTCATCCAAACAGATCACTTTGTCTGTTTTTTCTGATTAAACAGATTTCAGTCATTTTGTGTGCAAACATGTGATTCTCAAAATAATTCATAGCTTGAACAGAGTTACTATACCGTGTTTAATTTTGGTCATACATTGAACTCTGAGCACATTTTGGTTATATATTTTACTTCATTGTTTCATGCTGATATTCCATTAGAAGTTGTTGCTCTTGAAATGAGAACAATCAGTGTACTTTTAGTACAGATGCACCTGCCAGATGGGATCCTAATATAACCCCTCCTTTTGAACCTGTTATATCCTTTCTGTAAAAAAAAAAAATACATATAATTATATTTTATTATAGGATTGGTTTCAGGTGCTTGAAAAAATAGCAAATGTGTCCATTTTTATTCCAACCCCTATATGATCTACTGAGTTATTATTTGTAATTAAACTTTCTACTTTGCTTCTACACTTTAATGTTAAATGCTGTTTTCAGCTTCATTATAATTATAATTTTTTAGCTGTTTAAACACCCTGGGAATGTAATTTTGTAATTCCAGTGAGGTTTACATTTTAGAGAAAATGACTCATTTTCACATAACATCATTATTAATTATGGAGATGATATGATAAAAGTCAAATATTTTAACCATGGAAAAATGTGTTTCTCAGTTAAAATGAAATTTTTATGTTTTATAATAACAGAGATTAAAAATACAGTTAATGCACAAACTAGATACACAGATCTACTTTGAAGGTTGTGATAGATACACACTGCTAAGAAGCAGATGATTCACTAATAATAAATACAGAACAATTTTTATAATAGATGAAAGCAGAAGATCCATTATTAAATCTGTGATTATTATACAATATATTAAGCCAATCAGTTATGGGCTAGAAAAGTATTATAATTATTTTTGTAAAATGTTGATACTAACTAGTGATTTGATGAAATTTTGATTACAATTTTCATATATACAGAACACATTGGCTGAAAAACGAACAATCTTAGCTCATCTTTTGTCAGAACTTTATAAACAACAAAATCAAAGAAAAGAAGAATTAAAAAGAAGAATAGTAAGTTTGGTTTTTAACTTGAAGGTCTTCAGTATATAATTAATCGTACGGTAGGCTGTGATAATGATAGAGTTTTGTTTTTCTAAGACAAATACAAGTTTAAACTTTGTATAATGACATTGTACAGAAGAAACAGGTTAATGATTTCCACCTTAATGCATTATGAGAGATTTTGGCATTAGTAAGATAATTATAATGGACAATCTGTTTGCAACATTACAGAAGAGTAACAGGTTTTGTGGTAAAAGTGAAAAACATTCATTGAGAATGAAATAAGCTATACAGTTTAGACTGTTATAACGAATATATCGTTAAGTGTACACTGATATTGCCAAGATATGGAACCATTTGGTAATAGTTAAGTTTCAAAAGTTATCTCTTAAAGCTCTAAACATGACATAGTTTCCATATTTTATTTCATGAGTGCTATTGCATAGCACTTTAACTTTTCCTTATATAGTTTTAATTTCAAGGTTGTTGTCATTTTATAAATTACTCAGTTCATACTGTGGTGCACTAATTTCTAATGATATTGATTTATGAATAACAATATGTAAAGAAGAGTAACAGAACTGATTTAGGGAAAAAATTTTGAATGTACTTAATTACGGTAATCGAAATATGAAATAATAATAATAGAAATAATCTGAATATGAAATAATAATAATAGAAATAATCTAAATATGAAATAATAATAATAATAGAAATAATCTAAATATGAAATAATAATAATAGAAATAATCTAAATATGAAATAATAATAATAGAAATAATCTAAATATGAAAGAATAATAATAGAAATAATCTAAATATGAAATAATAATAATAGAAATAATCTAAATATGAAAAAATAATAATAGAAATAATCTAAATATGAAATAATAATAATAGAAATATTTTGAGATTGAGTTTGTGAAAATGTTTGTAATTTTGAATGATAAATGTTGAATTGATAAAAAATAAGATATATGTTTTTATGAAAAATAGGAGGATTTTAATATAACCAGTTTAAAGTATAATCTTGGGACTTGTATGCAAAGAAAACGTGTATTTTTTTATAAAAACAGCAGTTAAATCTCTTAAGTTACTGATTACACAAGCCCACAAATAGTAAGAAGACATATAATCATCCCTTACAAATTGTTTCTAACTCTCCCACATATAATTCATCTTACATCCAAACGTAATGTACATATGCCATATACAACAAAGAAGGAAGTGTTTTTAAAGCACACAATCATCCGTGACAAAAAAATTTTCTCTAACTGTTTCAGATATATTATATCTTACATTCTAATGCAATCTACAGAGACAGAAATACTTCAGAAGTACATGAAAATCGTTCAGAAAGTATTGCAAATATCCCAGATATATATTGGTTCACATGCAAATGTAATGTACATTTATCTTATACAGCAAAGAAGCAAGCATTTTGAAAGTATGCATCCAATAAAGTGAGCATTGGGAATATCATTCTTTTTATCCATAATGACAGAATCAAATAGTTGTTTTTCCTACTCTGTTTTGAAAATATTTTATCTGAACTGTAGACTTAAAATTTTAAAATTGTTTACCTACTTGTGAAACGAAAAGTGTGTTGGTTGTCAGATAATAATTGCACTTGAAACTATATTAAAGAATAGGATTAGAATGCTTGTATGGTAATTTAAGCTAAATTTAAAAACTAGAAAAACTTATTTACATTGAACTCCAAACTCACATATTCCTGGATTTAGATATTACGACCATAGATGTAAGTATGTAACCATATGAAAATAATATATAAAATAAGAGATAACCATTTTATTTTATTTTTTGGAATCCTATACCAGGGATCTTTTAGGTTAGGTTTCAAATCACTCTGCACCTCTGTTATTGTCAGCTGTAACTACAGACTTGTTCTTATTATTTAGTCCTGTGAGGTATTTGTTCTCCTCAGATCTTATACTGTGTGTATGTTACAATACTATTAGATGCATTTTAGACATGGTATGACACTTGTAAAACTGATATCAGAATATTGGTTGTAGAATGAAATGGAAGAAAGGCGAGCAGCTGAAGTGCAAGATTATTGGTTGATTCAGTTTCAGAGACTCTTAGACCAAAAACCTCAGGAACTTATATACAAAGTAAGTGTTTAAGTGTTATTTCTCAACAATGGTTTTAGTTGGTTGCTTTGTCTGTTTGAATGAGAAAGTAAGTTTCAAGTGGCTTTGTTGTCACAAACAATATCAGGTGAATGTGATGTATCAGACTTGTTAGTTACTTAGTTGATAACAAGAGTGGTTTGATGACTGTGGTATATCAGAATAGTAGTTATTTACTTGATAAAGTAAGTAGTCTGATGATTATGGTGTATCAGACCCAGTAGTTATATAGTTGTGATGTTATCCAGTTGATAAAACTAGTCTGTTAATTATGATGGATTAGATCCATTAGTTATATAATTGTGGTTGGTGTTATGCACTTCATAAAACAAGCGGTCTGGTGATTTTGCTGTACTAGGCCCAGTAGTTATATAGTTGTGATGTTATCCAGTTGATAAAACTAGTCTGTTAATTATGATGGATTAGATCCACTAGTTATATAATTGTGGTTGGTGTTATGCACTTCATAAAACAAGCAGTCTGGTGATTTTGTTGTATTAGGCTGAGTAGTTATGTAGTTGTGATGTTATTCTATTGATAGAATAAGTCTGGTGAGTATGGTGTATTAGATGCATTAGTAATATAATTGTGATTGGTGTTATACAGTTGATAAAAAAGTAGTTGGTATTTATAATGTATCAGCCACAGTTATTATATAATTATGATATTATCAAATTTTCAAAATAAGTCTAGAGATTATGGTATATTAGATGCAGTAGTTATATAATTGTGGTTGGTGTTATACAGTTAATAAAACAAATGATATAGTGGTTGTATTGTATCATATATTGTCAGGTGGTTGAGTTGCCTCAAACAATGTTTGTGGTTTTTGTATCGGGTAACATAGTTAGGTTTGTGATTATTTTCAGTTGATAAAATATATATTCAGATACATGTTTTATAGTGTTAGGTCATTATGTTGCATCAGTTAAAATATTTACCTAGTTGTAATACTATGCAATTTATGAAATAGGTGTTTAGGTGGTTATATTGTTCATGCAAAATGTTTATTTGGTTGAAATGTTTCTGTTTAGATGGTTTATGCTGTTTCTCAAGTAACAAAATATTAATCAGAGGTGGATCAGTGTTTTTGAGTGATAGGGCAAGAAACTAGAAATTCTGGTGATTACTTCTTGGAGTTGTTGCATATGTTAGGGAAAAGTCTGAAATCTGCTGTAACTAAATATACTATCCATATGATGGTAATGTATTTCATTAAAAAGTTATAAGCATTCAAAGAAACATATAGTTTTGAAGTGGCTGCACCATTTTACCAGCAATGGTCACAATTATTGATTCTCAAATCAAATCATGCAACCTTTCTTCATTGCCTCTTTGACATTGGAGACCATGTTCTTGATCTTCTGATCTGGCAAAAGGCTATTACTTCTGTTACTACTGTCCTTGTCATAACCAAACCTATTTTGGAGTGCTGCAACAGCATCTTAACATAATGTTTTGGAACAACAAGGAACCTGTTGGTCCATTTTAGCTGTCCCATGCTCTAAACAAAACTAAAATTATTAAATAAATATATTATCTTAAAGCCAGCTCTTATTATTCATATAGTTATCAAGCTTTCTCTTAAACTCACCAAAGTGTACTGCCTCCACAACATCCAAAGGCAACCCTTTCCAAAGGCCAACCACCTTGTAAGAAAAAGAAAAGTGTCTTAACTGAAGATGACTCCTACCCAGACAAAATTTATATTTGTGTCCCACAGTCCTACTATTCTTGTGGTTAACTATGAAAAAGATGATGCCTCAACATTATCAATTCCCTTTACAATCTTAAACACCTCAATCAGATCCCTTCTTCCTCTTCTTTTTTTCAAGAGAAAACAATTTGAGAAATCTCAACCTCTCCTCCTATGACAATCTCTCTGTCCCAGACATCATTCTAGTAACCCTGCTCTGAACCTTTCAAACAATTCAATGACCTTCCTAAGGTAAGGAGCCCAAGACTGAACACAGTACTGCAAATGTGGCCTAACCAGTAATGTATACGATGAAATTATAGCCCCTTTAGACTTGTATTCAATATTTCTGTAGATACTACCTAAAATCCTATTTGCACTACCATTAGCATCAGCATACTGCTTGGATGCCTTAATGGATCAACCATTACACTAAGATCCCTTTCTTTCATGACACTGTTAAGGTTATTTCCGTCCAAAGTACTTATACTTATAATTCAAATGATGTTAACTCACATGCATTTAATATAATTAAAACCCATCTGCTATTTATTTGCCCAACTTATGAAATGATA